GAGAAAGAAAGAGAAAGAGGTTGACGGAGGGAGGAGGGGGAAAATAGGAGGGAGAGAGAGGGATGAAAAGAAAAGGAGAAAATACAGTTCATTAATATGTAGACAGTTTTGCTTAGTGAACTGTATTGAATTGTATTTGTATAATTCTCATGGTTCAAAAGACAGTAATTCTGGGTCCAAATCCACAGGGAAATGATGCTTTTATTAAAATTTGCTATAAAGAAAGAGGACAAGAAAAAAATGTGACAATGAGTGTATATGTCCATGAATGACTGAAAAATGGTGCTGAACACTGGAATCTGACACAACATTGTAAAATGATTATAAATCAATAAAAAATGTTAAAAAAAAAGTGATACTGACTGCAGTAGGCTGGAAAATGCCAGATTGCTTTGCACATACTAAGGATGAGTATTTCTCAGAAATTTGTGTTTATGTTTTGTCTGTGAATCTTTTGGCACAAGAGGGTGAATAAATGGAATTTAAAATGAAAAAAAAAAGAGGACAAATGATAACATGCATGGTAAGAGTTGAGAAGCCCCCAAATATCCAGATTTTCACCAGACTGTTCCCGCAATATAACTCGATATTTATATTTATTTACACTCTTTGCCACTCTGGAATGAAGGTGTTAGTGGCAGTAAAGAAAGAGAAATCCTAAGCTAGTGTTGTCCAATCACTGTCAGGTAAAATTTTGTGTAGAGTTCAAAGGACAACGGTGAAATGTGTGTTGTGTGATCAGATCAGCTTGGCAAATACTAGCATCAACCAAGCAGAACCTGCCCGAGTCGTCCGTGTGAGTGTGTGCGTTACGAACTACCAGAAGAGAGGGCGGAGTATGTCACAAGCATTTTTGGCAATGGAATCCTTTCCTCACTGGGCATGGTTGATTGCAAAACAGAGCACTAAGCCTTTTTTAAAATCAAATTTGATTGAATTAGCCAACCAGAGTTGAGCCCTTCTTAGGCTCCATGGCAGGCACCTTTATTTACTGAGCGAAGGGTTTCATGAGGGTCTTCGGACGGACTCGAGAGGAAGGAAGCACCCAATAGAGATGCTCTTTTGTAACATACCCAGCATAGGGGCTCATAAAAGAGAAGTGTGAAACAGAGTATCAGAAGATAGATAGGAAGAAGAACAAACTAGTGAACATAATAAAAAAGAAGGAGACTTACAAATATAGAGAACAAACCAGTGGTTACCAAGGGAGAGGGGCGGGGGAAATCATAGGAGTAGGGGAGTGGGGGGCATAAACTATTGGGTATAAGATAGGCTCAGTGATATATTCTAAAACATGGGGAATATAGGCAGTATTTTGTAATAACTGTAAATGGAGAGTAACCATTAAAAGCTGTATAAAATTTTTAAAAATAATAAAATTATTCCATTAAAAAAAAGATAGATAGGAAGAGTCTAAACCAGTCACTCCTGAATTTCAACAGAGGGAAAGGTCATTTCCCCTACTAGAGGAAATAGGCAAAAATTCGGTGAAGGGCTGGGTCTCAGCGACGGCCCGTAAGGTGTGACTAGGAGGGAGTCGACATCCAGGATGAGGAGGAAATGTTTCCAGGCGGAAGTGCTGGCCTAGGGGAGGCACGATTTGGGGGTGGCGCGCAGGAGGGGTCTGGGCAGTGACAGGAGAGGGAGGAGAAAGGTGATTCCCTGATTGTCGTCACACAGGCTGCCCTCAGGGTAACAGTGCAAAGTAAGACCCGATGGTTTGGGGATGACAGCTGACAGAGGACGGTGGGAGAAGATGGAGAGTCCGGGACACAACTTACAGATGGAGAGAGGCAGGACACAGCCCTGTGGGCATCGGGAGCCTGGTGGCGGGATCTAAAGGCAGGACGCCTGAGGGAAACTGCAGGCTCATTTCTCCTACCTCATGCTTTGGCTAAGGACAAGGTCTAATCAAATATATTTGGATCTGGGGTTTGTGTCTCCCCTTGCCAATACAGAGAGCCAAAGAGAAGTAAGGTTCTTCTTGAAGATGTGTGTTATTCCCCAAAGAATCTTTTAGGAAAAGCAAACAGCTTGAGAAGGATTTGTTCATTAGATGTATTCTGGCAGCAGCCAGAAAAATCCAGAAAGTTCCTAGGACATGCACAGACACATAACACACTTGATTCTTGACACACTTGTGGTTTAACTCTTTTGTTATCAGCTGTCATTATAAAGTACATCTCACTTTCTCTAGTAAATGTATTGATAAAATCACCGAAACGTATTTCAGATACTGTAAGACAGTGATAGATTTTGGGTCCAAAAATTCTTACAGGAAACATGAATTGTTTACTCCAGTTTATAGTTGTAAGTACGATAGATGATTTTTCGACACCCTCATGCTTATTGCTGTAAGGAAGGTAAGTACTCCCTGGTGTCTTGCTTGATTCAAGAACATCCTGGCTGCTGTGTCTGATAAGCGATATGGCATCCCCTGGCGTCTGGTGCTGATACATTCCACGTGTAACCCCGTTACCCCGAAAGAGAATCCTTCCTGGTGAGTCAGATGGGTTCACAGAGGCGCAGATGTAACAGACAACCTATGTCTTGTAAAAACTGCTCATGTGTCCAGCCTATACCTCCTCACAGCTGGAAAGGTTTCCTCTTTCTGTACATGAATAGCCATCCTTCCCAGTGAGAAGTGTGGATTGCTGACAGCAGAGTGGTTTGTAACGAGAGAGCTGATCTCCTTTAAAGTCACCACCACTTCCTGGCTGAGGACGCAGTCCCTAGCCTCACTCCCACCTGCCTCTCTGAACCGCCGATGGGTTCACCTAGGACAGCACATCATCCGCACCCAGCCGCCATGCCCTCCTTTGGTTCCAAATGGACTTTGTGATGAAAACTCATCAGCGGAGTTCAGATGGCTAAGAACAGAGGCAATGAGACCTCAGCTAGCAAACGGGTCAAGGCAGTCATTTGGGGCACTGCGTTACTGAAACAAACTGTAATGCAAATTCTCGCCATTTCCCTGCTTGAGCCGAGGCTGACTTAGGTTTCACATGAGCCTGAGGCTCTGGAAGTCAAAACATGAGAAGAAACAGGATCCTGCCTATCGCATGTGAGCCTGTGCGGGCAGGGCCGCGTCCGCTGGGGCAGCTCAGCAGTGTTCAGACAGAAATACTAAGAAGTGTCTCCCTGCAGGTGACTGTTTCATGTGCTGCAAATTATGGACTATGACCCTGAAATTCTGGCAGTCATTCCTCTTACACTGTTACTGCTGACTCTGTATGGAGAGACACTAAGCATTGCACGTACCTGATTTTGGTATTCCTAGTAAATTTAGTGAGCACAGGCCCAGCTCTTCCCATTCGAGCACCCTAAATGCGCGCACGCGCGCGCGTGTGTGTGTGTGTGTGTGTTGTATGTTGCGTGAAAAGTAAGGCGGGGTGCTACATAGTTCCTGTGTGTCAATGTGTCATTTCGAGAGTGGTTTCTGAGCGCAGCCACAAGACCTGGTTTCAGATGCCAGTCTGTCGGAGCGTCCTCGGGCTCATCCATAATGCATGGCGCCGACAGGCCCAGCCTCACATGCTTTTGTTTTCCGCCGCAGATGAAGGGAGACATGGATCTCTCTGTTTTGCCAAATAACAACCATCCTGACAAATTCCTGCAGCTCGACGTGAAGTTGTTAATGAGGAGCTCAGCCCCTGGGCAGGCTGGCCTGGTGAGGTTTCCGGGAGGGAACTACCCCCCGCCGCGCAGCACTGGCGGAACCTCGTCTACTCACAGGTGAGGGCTGTTCACAGGGAGCTCGTAAACGTGTGGGTGGGGACCTGTTTCTTTCTGCCTCTCTGCCATTGCATCCTTTGTGTGTAAAGAAGGCCGCAGGGAAGAGAGCAGAAGGTGCTGCTCACTCTCGCCAGAGGAAGTCTTTCTCCCTTCCTTAAATTAACATCAGGAGACTTTGTCTGATCACTTCGTAAACTCTGTGAATTTCCCCAACCCTTTATTTCCCTCTAAGCACTGGCTTCTCAGCCTGTCTTCATTTTAGATTTTGCCAAGCCCCCCTTTTATTCCTTTCCTTCAGATTTGTTTCAAATCAATAACTACACTTGCCATTGAGGCTCTGGGGGCAAAGCCTACCTCTGCCTTTCAGGTTAGTCTAAGCCTGAAGCATCAGAAACTTACACAGCGGGACCCCCGCAGCCTCTGAGACAACAGAATCTCGCTTCCGCCTCCTTTAGACGGGCTCCCTTTCATCTCATGCAGAGAAGATTCCAACAGCAAAACAGTGGAAACTGGGTGATGGAAGGGGCAGTCTCTCCACCTTGGAACGGTGCTGGCTGTTATTTTAGGTGGCCGCGTTTCCCCACGCGTCCCCGCGGACAAGACTTAACAATGCACCTTCGGACCCAGTGCAGACTTCCTTTCCTGCTTTCTTCTTTTGCGTCTTCCCTCTTTTTGCTCACCAGAAGAGAGGAATAAACCTGTGATGAGTTCCATGTGCTGAAAGAAACATAAAGCTCTTGAAACAGGGATAATCACTGTTTAAAGATGTGAAGGCTAATGGGGTTAAGGGTTAGTCAGTTGAGAAACAGGAAGAAGCATTTCATTTCAGAACAGTGTGACTGACCTACAAGCCCCTGCAAGTCATTAAGTCCTTTGGAGTGGCTCAAATTCCCTGAGCAGAAATTTGTTTTCTTTTAAGAAACAGTTGCTACTCATGAGTCCTGGTGTAGAGTGACTCCTTAGTGGCGTGTTTGTGGGCTCCTGGGGACCTTTATCATGAGATCATTCAAAATCAAGTACACTTGGATGATTATGTAAGTGTTTCCTCCACCTATGAGGTTTTTTATTTATTTCCATTGTAAGGCAGCCTATTATGACAACTGGCTTTTTATAAACTTTATATCCTTCCCTTTTGTAATCCTCCAAACTCATCCATACACACCTTTTTGGTGTGGTTCTTTGTGTTTTGTTTAGTTGGAGCTAAATGTGACGAAATTTCTCCTTTGCTTTTCTTATTGTTTATATCATGGGATAAAATGATTCAAAAATCAGTTCAGAAAACTTTGGCCCTCCTGTGCTATGAAGTTTAGTCTGAGAAAACATATCCAATGAATTCCTTTGAGGTTGGAACACACCGATCTAACATCTTTTGTTTAGTACTGGAGTTGACCGACTTCCTTCATGTGGATCCTCGCGCTTTAAAGCTCTGTTGACTGTTGTTCCTAAAGCTGAATGAAATGCAAATTTCTAAAGGGCTTCTCTTACAGCAGGCCCTGAGGTGTTGAAATAATTATTCAGAGCAAGCCAAGAAGGTAAAAGTCTGCTTCATATGTCTTTGAATATGTTACTGGTAATTGTAAACTGCAGAGAAGCTTGATTTAGTCATTCCTTTGCCCTAAAAAGAAATATTCAATGACTGAATCGAGGCCAATTTACTGCTGAAATAATGCATGAAGAGGAGGAGGACTCAGTCACAAATTTAGATCGCTGGGTAGGCGTGGCACAAGTTCTGAGTAACAGCAATTATATTCACTACTTTAGATTGCAGTAAGTCAGTAAGTAGTCCTTTCCTTGTCTGGATCTTAAAATCCAGGTGTGATATACTCATTGATAAAAATAAATAAATCTAAAAGAAATGAGTATATGAAAGTTTTAAGTAGCCATAATGATACCTAGAATAAGGCACTGAATGTGTCATGTGTATTGAGGAGTTAGAGATGCAGAAGATGGCAGGCAGCTGTCCAGTAGTTCTTAATTTAAAACCCTCAGTCTGTTGGCTTCATGTCTCACTCTGCTGGGGAGACATTAAGCCAATTGGAAGAACACTGAATGAAAAGATTTGGTTCCTTGTCACAAATCCACAGTAAACCAGTTTGAGAGACATCAATCATGGTCCTTGCTCAGTTCATGCCTCAGTGTTTCCACTTGCAAAATTAGGATAATATTCACTCTACGTATTTTTTTAAAAGTGAGAGCACATAAAATAATGTAAGGTAACAGCAACTGATTTCCTGTAAGAGTACAAGAAATGTGTATTGCCGTTATTATTATTACTGTTCGTATCATCATCTTCATCATTTGCCAGAACTCCAAAAATATGTTAAAATTATCCTTTCATTAGAATTTGAAAAATACCACTTGCATTTTTTTAAATTTATACTGTGAATGGATGGGTGTTTGTGTGTGTGTGTGTGGATGGTGGTGTCGTAGGATGTCATCAATACATCTGTCAAAGTATGTCGCTAACTCAAGCAGTTGACTTTATACCCACGTAAAGTTTATATGCACACAAACTTCAGAGTTGGGTCAGCTTACCCTTTGGTCTCACACCACCCGGGTGCGTGGTGTTTGGAGTTCAGACTACTTATGGAATATCAAAGGACTTCACCTGCAAACATAGCCTTTACCATTGGTAGTAACTCAGAGTTAAAACAAACATTAGATCCCAAATATGAAGTTGAATTCTTCAATATCTGCTTCATAGTGTATTCATGATTTAATCTTTTAAGCCTTTTTTAAATTCACATTCCACATTCAGAGGAAATTCTCTAAGCCATTTTACATGAGCTGAAGCAGTACCACGCGTATAGAGAAGTTAGCGTCCTCAGGCACGCCGGGGTCTCCAGACACTGGGCATTCCCTCTGCGTGGATACACAGGTCACCTGTAATTGCAGAGAGTACAAGCAGATATTCTTGATTCCACTAGATTATATTTTTCTTAAATTCTTTCACTAGAGAAATAAAGAAACTTCACAATAATTTTTTCCCAATGCAATGAACAAACTTTCACCAAAATCTAATGCTTCTGGTTGTTAAAATAATTGGAGGCATGTATCTGATGAAGGCATTTGGAATTGTATTCCAGATGTTTTCAATCTCTTTATAAAATGAGGTCATGAAAGGAAAAGCTGGTTCCTTTTTTATTTAATTTTTTTTTAGTTTAATGATAAAATATGTTTTTTCAGATATTGTGGTAGGATTTTTTTTTTTCTGATTAGCAGTTAGACTTCAGAATCTTTTCCGACTAATCTCTTTGTTATATCTTTTCCTGGCTTCCATCACACCTGTTTCAGAACCCAGGGGTTTTCTGTACTAAACCTGTGAACTGGGACAAAAGGTCAAGGGTAGGAGGTTGCTCTTCACTTGCTTTCTAGACAATGTCATTTACTGAGGGTACTTCCTAATCCCCTTCCTTACTATTTTTTCAGTCTTATGGCTCTCTGTTCCCCTTAAATGCTAATGCCTCTTCTTTCTATCTCAGTTTTTTTTTTGGTATACCATAACTGTGTAATGATCTGTCTCTGAACACGTATGTCATGCCTTCTCTTCTGTCGCACTGTTTCTATTCCCAATACTCCATTTACAATTTTGAATAAGAAAGCCTCACGTATACCATAGGCTCCATTTTTAAGCCTATATTTGGGGGGATGTTACAGGACTTTTGAAGTGCTTAAATTACTGTCTAGGAGGTTGGTTGAGGAGCATCACTGAGTTGCTCAGAGTTTTACTTGCAGTTATCAGGATATGATTTATCAAGTCACACTAAATTTATGCTGTTCACAAAAACTCCACTGGGATCAGAAATTTACCCTTGGGTGGTATGCTGCCAAAAGCAACACCCAGATTGTCCCGTCGCACTGCTCCCAGATGAGACCCAAATACCCTGCACTAAAACCTGTGTCACAGGCACCACGTGCATCGCAGTAGCACATGGGGGGGCCCCCGAGCCCTGGTTACGTGAGGGGAAGGCAGGAGAGGAGCTTCAAGAGAGGCCGGGGTTAGACTGGGGAGGCTCAGTGTGTGTTGTCTGAGATTTTAAATTTTATCCTCAAAAGCCATTTCAGCTCCAGCCAGCCATCTTGCAGTATAGCATTTTCATTTTCATTCTGTCCTAAATTTTTAAATTTAAATTTCCATTGTTATTTTAAATTTCTATTATTTCTTTGAAATATGTGTTTTAATCTCTATAAGATACAGTATTTTACATTATCTTTTTGATAATAATATCTGTATTTCTAACTCAGTTGTCTGTGGTCAAAGAGGATGACCTATATAATACTGAATTGTGAAATTTGTTTTCGGGTCCAGCACATTACTCGTTTTTTAAAATATTCAATGTGTATCTTTAAAATGAGTATTTTCAGTTGTTTAATGAAGACGTCAGTGTCTGATCAAATTTGTTAGTTTCATTGTTCAAATTCTCTTTATCTTTAATAATTGTTTTGTTTGGTTAAAAAAAGTATATATATATAAATTTCTCCATATAGCTCTCTCAAGTTTTGCTCTTTAAATTTTGAAACTATTTTATTAGATGCATACAAATTTAGAATTACTGTGTTTTGCTGATTGTGTCTACATGTATTCACTTTCCAGCAACATTTTCTATGTCTAACAAAGTCTTTTACCTGAAAGTTTATTTTGTCTGACATAGATACTTTCTTAGTGCTTAGTCAGGTTAAGTGATGTTGTGGAAACAAATATGCCCAAATTCTTAGTAACTTAACGCAGTATTCCCACAGGCTCTTTTATGGATCAAAAAATGCCCTTAAGGGCTTGCTTCCAGGTGGAACCCAGGCTGATCCTTCTGGAGGCTGTGTTATACCAGAATCTTTGCTATGCTTGTAGACAGAAGAGGGAGGCTAAGCCCCGGATCTTTACAAGGACTTTCGGGCTCAGGGCTGTGTTCCATTGGTCACACGTCCCAGTCCAGCTGTTGTGTGCCGTGAAGAAGAAATGGGTTTGCTGAGTATCTAGCCCGGCTCTGCCACAGCGTATCATACTGTTAAACATATATACACATACGTTTCATCTTTCTGCACGTAGCATGCACCCTCCCCTGGAAGTACTAATCCCCAGGGGAACCGGGGCTCCATTCAGCAGATAACCCCCTCCACACCATCCTGTAAGCTTTGTTGGACCAGGAATGAAATGACCACACGAGTTCTTCCTTTCTGAACGGGAATAGAGAAAGGCAGCCGTCGCTGCTCAAAGGTAATTCACAGACTAGTTCACGTGGGCCCCCTTCCTTGAAGGTGGGGAGGTGGACTAGGCCGTGCTTCTGCTTTTGATAAGGCCTCCCGGTGCGCTGTTCTCCGTAGTCCCGGGTTCCGCTTCCTAGGAAGTGGAATGCTTGTTCGTCAGTCTCTTTTGACATCAGAAGTGGGCCCTTCTCCAAAGGCTGCTTAGCCTTCAAAGTTTACTCCTATTTATGGACATTTGGAGGTTCAGGGTTATTGTTTATTCCGTTGGTTTTGTTTTATAAACCATCAAAATCTTTTAGGTCTAGGCTTGTGGTTTCTTTGGCAATATATTTCTTACAAATCTTACTGTCAGCTATTTATTAATGTCACCGTGTCTGTTTAGTTGCAGTCAGTTCTATAGGTCAGTAAACACACCTAAAGTTCTTTGAAGGTCTAACTTAAATGGGCTTCAATGCTTTGCTTCTCTGCCTCCATCTCTCCATCCTTTGACTCAGTGACAAACACCTGGAGGCAGTCAGGAATAGTAGCTGTGAAACCACACCCTAACATGACCTTTACCCTGACTCATTTCATTCCACTAAGAAGTTTTAGTGGGCTTTTTTTTTTTCCGCTCAGTGTATTGTTTTTAAAATAATTCTACGTCTTAGTATTTGGTGGTCTATAAACAGACTTTTGACGATAGAAGGAATCAAATTTCTAGATGCTCTTTATTCTCGTTCACATCTTCTTATAAATTATCCTGTTCTTTCTCTAATACTGTCTCTTTTTTGCATTACACCAATGCTGTGATTCTTGTACATATGTACATAAATTCTCTGATTATTTATAATCTCTCTCCTAGAGCTATGGGGGTTTAGATTCCAAGTTACCACAGATGACACTTACACCAAGCATTTCTCACTGTGTGCTATGAATAACCACCCATCCAGCCTCTGATACCCTTTCCTCCCTTTCCATTTCTTGAGTATTAAGCCAGTGCCACACATTTTTAGAGTTTCAAGATACCACTTTCCATATTAGGGATTGTAGGCGAGGCTACACTGTGATAAAATATCAGTAACTAAGAAGAAAACAAATGTCTTGCTCATGAAGAGTCTGAGGAAGGGCAGATGGGTTTGGGGACAGCCCTTTTGCAAGCAGTATCCCAGGCCTTCAAGTTCTTTCATCCTGTAGCTCTTCCATCTCAGAACTCTTGCTTGCACTGACACAAAAATGGAAAGCGAAGAAAAGTGAGCCGAAAATCTTGCTGGAGATTTCAGAGGCCTGACTTGGAAGTGGTTGCTGTTACTTTTGTCCACACATCATCAACTAGCAAAGAGCTGGCCCCAGTTTGACTTCACCACAGCCTGGGAAAGGCAGTCATCCTGTGCACTCAGGAAGGGAAAACAGTATTGGTGAGCATTTAATGTCAGCACAACGCCTGGCTCTTGTTTGTTTATATGTGCCTGCTACATCTTTTTACATTCTTTCACTCCCTTTTTTGCTGAGTCCTTATATTTTAGGTATTTCTCTTGTAAATGTTAGACAATTAAAGTTAATTTTTTAAATCCGATCTGATAATCTCTGGCGTTTAAATAGAGGGTTTAGTCTATTTATATTTAACATGATTATTTCAAAACTTTTTCTATTTTCATTAAGGCTTTCTCCTCTATATTCTTTATTTCAGGTTTCTTACAGATTAATCAACTTTCCTTTATCATTTTTCTTCTTATAGCTGATTTAGAAGCTATAAATTTTTTCTCTATTTTTTAGTAAATATCTCTATCTTCTCACTGAAATGATTTCTTAAAATGTCCTAATCAAATATATCTGTCTTTTTTAAACTTTTTACTGCCCAGTTTTAGTTGTCTCCTATCTTAAAACTCACAAATTAGCAATTGTTTCTATTTTACCATAAAACCAATGCTTAACTTACATTTCCACATATACTTATCATTTTTTTATTTTGTTCTATTTTTGTTTGTTTTGCTTAGCATTCCTTCTTGCATCTCAATCTTTTCTTGTAGCATCAGGTTTCTTTTTCCTGAAGTACATTTTTAGAGACTCCTTAATTACTGGCCTATTAATTGAATACCCTCAATTTTTGTTTGTCTGAAACTATTTCACTCTTTTTGTTAAATGATAGTTTACTTACACATAAGTGGCATAAATGGATAAAGTAATGGTTAATACAGAAAAACCTAGGCAAGTTTTGAAGTGTTACTTTCCTTAAATAAATATTTTTAAATATAAGTTATTTTATAGTCCATATAATTAAATTAATGGGTTACTGTTGCATTTCCTTTTGGTAAATGCAGTCTATCTGGAATGTGTAGTGAAGAGTTAGATCAAATATATGCTTTGTTTTCTCTCATAAAAGATGTGAAAAATTTGTCAAAATACAAAAGGACTTCAAACATTATTATTTTCTATTTCTGCCATCAAATTCTTCATAAAGTTATTCTATTAATTTTCCCTTCACATGTCCTTCAGACATAAAATTGTCATGCAATGCTAAAATAAGTAACACCATGTTCTAGAATAAACCTCAAACTCTCAAGAATATGGTTTAGAATTAAGGACTTGAATGATCTTTTAAAATACAGCTCTGATTAGTTTGCTGGCTTTTTGTATATTAGTTTTTCAAGGTCTTTATACATTGCAACAGAGTGTATTTTTTTCTTTGCCCCCAAAACTATATTTTTCTCATTTATAGAGCTTTCTTATTTAAGGAGCTCAAGGAATAGTTCAGCAGGCAAGAAAACTGACAAAGCCAATTTTTCAATGTCAGGAGAATTACTTCTCTTCAGAGATGATCAAAGATTCCTAGCCTTGAAGAAAAAAAAAAAAACTTGAGTCAGAATTATGCTAAACTGAAACAATCTAAATTTCATATCAAATTGTTTTTTCTCAATTTGAAACATTTTTCATGAAGTCATCCATCTTAAAGACAAATGCTAAGTCAAGATGATTTATTATTTCATTGCAAACTTCAGTATTATATAGAATATAAATTGATTTTGAACAGACCAGCAATGTAATAAAGTCAGAGAAGATCACCAAGCTGATCTCTAAGTATGTAAAAAATGTCAGGATTAAGAAAATTAAAGAAACCTATGGCCAAAGAGAATGTGAGTGGCTCTATCTAGATGATTTTTTTTGGCCTGCCAGCCATTTCAGAAGGAAACTATATATAATCTTAGTTTACAACATAGCTTATATAAACACATATTTAATGTGACCTATACACCCCACCACATGCTGAGGGAATCAGTGCATTGATGTTTATAAATATGACTCAGAGGAATATTAATGGCTATTGAAAGTTCTCTGTTTAGGAAGGCTGAAATATGTGAAACACATTTATTGAAAAATTGCTGTCAATTAATGAAATGTGTCACCAGCTATTAAGGGTCAAACCTAAGTTTTCTGAAGATTAACTTATGTGAAATTCCTCTCCCATAATGCCCCATGATAAATTATTTATAAATTAGTCTATAAGCGTTTTGTTTTTTTTCAGTTTTGCTCGGCCAGTAAACAAATTATAATCTCAAATTTTGTTCCCTTCATGATAGTTTTATAGTCATAAGGGGAAAAAAAAGCAAAGTAAAAATGTGAAGGTCATAGCAGACACAGAAAAGCACACATTGTATGATTGTTTCCATTTATATAAATGAGCACAGCTGACCTATGTTGTTATATTTGGGGTACTGGTTCTCCCTGGGCTGGGGGAGAGAGTGACTGCAGGGGAGTATGAGGTGTGCTGGTAATGGTCTGTTTCTTCATAGAATCTTGGGTTTCTTTGGAATGTGAAAATTTATTGAGCCCTACATTCATAATATATGCACTTTTCTATATGTACACCATGCTTCAGTGAAAAAAAAAAGTTTTTAAAGATCTGAAAGTCAGAATTAG